ACAGTTGTGCTGCTTATATATTTTCATGGAAACCATGATGCATTTTTTCAGGATTTTTGTGGAATAGAAAGTTCAAAAGAACAGCATTCATTTGAAATAGTAAATGCTTGTACATGTTTACAAACAAACAAACAAACAAACAAATCTTTTGACCAATTTAATGCATGCTTGCTAAATAAAAATATGAATAATTTAAAAAAAAATCTTACTGAAATCAAACTTTTAAAAAGTATATTATATTGTATTATATTATATTACTTAGTCACAAGCAAGGTAAAGATTGTTTAATGAGTTGTTTTGACTGACTCAATAAAAAGAAGCAGTTCATAAGAGTCATATGTATGTGAATCAGCATCATGACTCGCTGTTGTTAGTGCATGCAGCATACACTCGCGGGCTCTCTGAAGATGTAAGGCCCTCCAAGATGATAACTGACTAAACTATGTATTAATGCACACAAAGCTTTCCCGACTGTTGCTCATGTGCTCATGGAGGCTAGAGTTTAAATTGTTGCACATTTTTTGTCACTTTTGTGACCGTTCTAGTCATAGTCTGGAGCCCTGTATAATATGTTGTTGATTAAAACTCTCTGTCAGCGTTTCATTCTGCACCAGTGCCAAGTTTTTTTTTTTCTTTTTCTTTTTTCTTTTTTTAATCTCTCCCATCAGCCCTACTCCAGAAAACACAGTTCAGTACTCAGCCTGTCCAGATAATATAGTTTATGTCCAGAGCTGCTTCTCTATTGCATTTGGGCAGATGAGATGGTTATGGCTGATTTTGTCAGTAGGTTTATTTGCAGTAGTTTCCTGCTGCGTTTATATTCAGGAGTTCCTGCACGGTCAACAAGGGGAGGTTAGCCTTCTGCCGTAATGATATTTGGAGAATGAATCGTGATTTGACAGAGGGAGGGTTGTGCTGGGTTCATATCCCATTTGTAAAGTGCTCTACAGAACGTCGTGTGCTGCAATACATTTATGCTTTCTGTTTTACATTTACAAGGTCTGAATTGAATTATTGTCCTCTGGATGTATTTAAGAATGTCCTTAAAAGGCCTATCGTACATTATTTCTCTCTCTCATAAAAAATTCTAAAGTGTCATATTTCTTTAAAGAGATGCTGACTCCAGTAATGCTTGATGGTTCAAGTCACTCTTGAAATATTGTTTACTTAAGTGCGTTTGTGAATGGAGGGCAGTTTCTCATTAGGAGAATAATTCTATTGTTCTGTATGTTTCCTTTCAGGTGGCTAAACTCAATCCCAAAGACCACAGCTTTACTCTAAAGGATGATTTCTACAGACATGTGCGGAGGGACTGGCCCGGCTATGTCGAGGAAGAGCGGCAACTCATTCAAAGGGTGCTGGCAAGGTACATACAGTATTCCCAATTCTCACAACATCACTCGTATCTTTTTATAAATATTTATCGCCGTTTTAGTGTGTCAGACAATAATCTTCTATACTTTGCCTTACAATCCTTCACTTTGCTCTGCTTTGCTTCCAACCTTTTTTTTTGTCTTGCATAGACCCATTTGTAAGGTTCAAGTTCCCCTTCATCAAGACCAAATCAAAAATATGCTCCTTTTTACGTTTTAAAAAAGTATATTATATAAGTATACTGTATATATCCTAGTATATTAGGATATTTTTTAGAAGTAATTAAAGTCATTATTACAGTATTATTAATGTTATTTTAGTATTATTTATATAGTAATATAGTTCTAAACTGAAAATATAAAATAAAAGCTAATTGAAAATATCAATAAAAAGTGTATTAATATTTTCAGTTACCTTTTATTTTATATTTTAAGATGTCATTGTAATTTTCAATAAAATTGTAATTTTTAGTAGGTTTTTTTTATATTGCTATTAATATTTTATTTTACTAACATTACTAGTTGAATATTGCTGCTAATTTATTTTTATTACTGTTTAAGTTTTAGTTGTTTTCTTTTTTCCCCCAGGTCATTTTAGTGCTTCAACTTCAACTTATTTCAGTTAGATGCCAAGGCAGATTTCTAATTTTCATTAAGTTTGTTTCTTATCTAATATTTATATTTAATTTTATTGAGTTTTATTAACAAAACTGTTTTTAGTAATTGTAGTTTTACTTCACAGTAATAACCCTACTTAGAGACATGCTAAACTCTCATAACCGTATTATTTCCCAACTTCCTTTGACTAAGAAGGGCTGGTGACGTTTGGTACAGTATTGTCATCCAGTCCTTGCCCCCGCAGTCTGCTGAGATGATGTGTTTTGGAGGCCTTATTAAGTATGATGTGGTTAATAGGCCTGTCTGAGCAGGAAGCCGTGCGATTCACTGTGCTGTTGAGTGGAATTATGCTGAAAGCTTCTTTGCAGCCGCATTCAGTGCCGGAACAATAGGAGAATAAACGGCAGCCATCCTGCCAAATACGATCTTGGCAGCCCTGTCTTTGGGAGGTTTTCCACACTCCGCCTGACTGACTGCATGCTTGAGTTTCTTCTCTGCCTTCACCTCTGCCTCTCATTTTTTATGTGCACTGTATAAAGTATCCTAATGGGACTGATCAAAATGATCTTGCAATAAACCCCAGAACGGGACTTGCACAACACGGCATGTTTGCAGAATGATCCATGAACTGCTACCATTCAAACTTTTGGGGCCAGAAAGAAATTATAAACGTTTTTCAAAGTGTCTCACCAAGGCTGCATTTATGTGATTAAAAAATACAGTAAAAAATTTAATATTGTGAAATTATTATGATGTAAAATAACTGTGCTAATTTATGTGATGGCGAAGCTGAATTTTCAGCATCATTAGTCCAGTCATCAGTGTCACATGATCCTTCAGAAATCATTCTAATCTGCTGATTTGATGCTCAAGAAACATTTCTTATTATAATCAATGTTGAAAACTGTTCTAATATTTTTGTTGAAATCATGATGCATTTTAATAACTCTTTGAACAGAAAGTTTAAAAGAACAGCATTTCTTTTAAATAGATATTTTGTGACCATGTAAATGTCACTTCTGATCAATTGAATGGATACTTGCTGAATAAAAAGTATCTTGCTCAGATAAAAAGTCTTAATGACTTCAAACTTTTGAATGGTAGTTTGTCATTTAGTGAGTTCACTGTAAAAAAAATTGTTCGTTATATAATATTTAGATATAAATATTATATTTATTTAATATTTATTATTTTATGTACTATTTATAAATAAATATATATTTTATGTATATGTTATTCTATATTTTATATTAGTTTTACTTGACTTTTTACTACAGTATATAGTCTAGAGTAGTTTAGTACATCATGTTTGTCAGGGCATTGATGAAGAGCGATCCTCCGTGTGATGAAAAAGCAGCTCTATGAGAGGAAAGAGCTGTAGGAAGCAGATTGCCAGAGGAAAGTTCCAGCGGAGTAGGAATGTCTCTGGCACCATTGTTCTCGTCACTGGACATTAGCAAGGCTTTTGCCAGTCCCACTGCAGATGTTATCAGCTACCCGGAAATGCTAAACTAGACTAACACCCCCGGCGCTCTGACCGAACGAATGCCGTGCAAGAGTATAATGTTTTTACACTCTGTTCGGGAACAGCCAAACCTGATTAACACTCGTGCAAATCCTAGACCTTGATCCTGAGCTTTAAATTTCTTCCTGTTTAGTTCCTCCATTTCCTGTAAGCACAACAGCTTTCTGGAACAGGGAAGTTGATCTCAACTTGGGATAGTTTACAGATTTGTTTCAGAATTTAATTAGCAAAGGTTTCCTGATGGCAGGCATGAACGGAATGACATTTTGACGGCGTCTCACTCTCTGTTATTCCAGAAAACTCCAGCCTCTCAGCAGCAGCACTAGCCAATTGAAAAGCCTCCAGTCCAGCCATTCATTCCACAAAACCTCAGGGGATTCTCCATCCCAACTCAGCCCTGTCAAGAATCTCTCCATGGTAAATATGCACCTATAAAAAGAAGTGCTTCTTTTCCTCCGTCTCATTTTAAAACTGTTGCATGCTGTAGTATCTGTGCAATGGACTACTAGTTTTTTGTATGCACTGAAACATGTTTGTGATTGAATGTATGATTGATATACCTGAGATGAGAATAAGAAGAGTCTATTTTTTTTTCTTGTGAAGATCATGTTTGGCGCCGTCTGCTCTTTATTTATGGAGATGCTGGAGGCGCTTCAGTCACTGCTGTTTGCAGGAGCCAATTAAGCTGCCGGTCCACACTATTGCTGTTTTCCATCTGTAAAGTTTGTGAAATCTCCTTCTTTCTTTCCTCCCAGAAACGCCCAGTGCCTTCCGACCATCCAGAAAGTCAGACGCCGAAAAAGCAACGTTTATTAGACCAGAACATGCCCTTGCAATCTCCTTCCAATGGACATCTCAGCTCCTCCATGAGCCGTAGCTCTTCCGCTCATGGAAACACAAGTTTGCAAAGGGGTAGCAGCACGGCTCAGCAGAGCCCTGATGGTCATTACCAGAGGCACAAGCTCGGGGAGTCCAACAGCATGCCCAAACCAGAACAGCCAGAACCAGCACAGCAGCCATCGTCCAGCCCCAAACACCCAAGAACTGAACCAGAAATCTGCACTGACCAGCAGCTAGCAAACGGCCAGCACAAAAAGAAGTCCAAGAAGCATAAAGAAAAAGAGAGGGAGCGCTTAAAACCTGAGTGGGTCGAGACCAGCCCGGACCTTAAACAGAACCAGGAAAATATCAATGGTGGGTTAAAAGGTTTAAAAAAGGTGAAATTTTGATGTAGAGGTGCAATATGTAACCCTGGACCACAAAACCAGTCATAAGTCGCTGGGGTATGTTTGTAGCAATAGCCAAAAATACATTGTATGGGTCAAAATTATTGATTTTTTCTTTATGTAAAGGTCATGTTCCATGAATATATTTTGTAAAAGTCCTACCGTTAGTATATCAACACGTAATTTTTGATTAGTAATATGCATTGCTAAGAACTTCATTTGGACAACTTTAAAGGTGATTTTCTCAATATTTTGATTTTTTTGCACCCTCAGATTCCAGATTTTCAAATAGTTGTATCTCAGCCAAATATTGTCCTATCCTAACAAAAACCATACATCAATGGAAATCTTATTTATTCAGCTTTTAGATCTCAATTTAGATCTCTCTTTGTTTTAAAAATTGACCTTTATGACTGGTTTTGTGGTCCAGGGTCACATATATTTGTGGCCAATAAATTATTTGCAAAGAAAAGTAATATATAGACTACTGTTTAAAAGTTTGTACGTTTTTGTAAGTTTACTGTTTAAAAGTAGTTTGTAAGTCAGTAAGTTTTTTTTTTTTTTTCTTCTTCTTCTTTTTTTGGTTAAGGAAATGTATACATATTAATTCATGATCTATAGTTTATTGGGTTTTCTTAATTGCAAACAACCAGCTAAATAAAACATACACATTCTCAACTTTTAAACAACATTGGAAAGTAAAACAATAAAAATAAATAAATAAATAAACAACAGGCAGCCGCTAACACCATTAGTTCCTGAAATTAATACTTTTATTCAGCAAGGATGCATAAAACATTTATAAAAAGGGACTGTAAAGACATTTATTTAAAATGTTACAAAAGACAAAACATTTATTTTTAAATTGAACTAATATTTAAGTTTTTGCTGTATTTTTAATTAATTAAATGTAGCATTGGTCAGCATATAAGATTATTTTTTTAAATCCCAAACAATCCAAAAAACAACAACAACAAAAACTTTTGAACAGTAGTGTATATAACTGGGAATGTTAAATGATTATCAATACTAATTATTACAGCATAATACATTTTAATTGATAATTTGTTACATTATTTTTGCTTGTGACAATTACACATTTTTTTCTAATTGTTGGCCTATTTACATGTACAATATTAATAAAAAACAATTAATGAATAATTTCATATATTATTATTATTAATTCATTAACGCATAAAATTATATTTAACAGCTTTTTAAGCTGTACTGTTATTGCCGATGAGATTTAGAATCCACAGTAAAATATTGTATAGCAACATGATGTTATGATTGTTACATGGTATGATGTCAGGCAGTGATAATAGTAGGAATTGTGGTGATCATAATCAATATTTATCAGCACTGCCAAAAGGGCAATGGGGTCATTGTTTCTCAGAGGGAATTTCACTAGATGTTTTTGATACCGAATAACTGCTGTTCTGTAAAAAAAAAACAAAAAAAAAAACAAACAAAACATCCCGTTTCAGCTCTGCCGCTGCAATTCATCTCAGAAGTGGCTCACTGTGAGATGCTTTCATTTCAAGTGAAATGATGGCAGAACAGGTTTGGACTTGCCAAGCAATTCAGGAAATATTCCTGTATGTTTGTGTGCGGATACACAGACGTGTGCGTGCGAGGTGACTGCTCGTCTGCGCCCTTCCCTAGCGCCAGGGTGGATGATTAACTTAACTAACAGCTGGGTGACCCACTGTAAAACGTGCAGAGCCCACTTTGACCGTCGCCTCAAGCTTGACGTCTTGTCAGGCAGCCTTTGTCAGCGACGACCGCCCTCCACGTTCCTTATCGCAAGATTTGATAAATGACTCCATCAACCCAGGCAGCATGGCGCTTTGATATGTTTGCGTAGTTCGATTACATAAACCACTTTATCATTCTTGTCTGTGTTTGTGTAGACCACGAACGACCCAACACACCTGTCACCCGTGCCTCGCCCGATGAGCTGCCTGACCATTTATTGTAAGTAAGACCAGATTTCGGTTTATTTTACTGCTTTGTGATTCTGTAATTACAAGGTGGAGATTGTCTGCCGATGATTAAGGAATAGAAAATTAACTGTGTTGCACATTTAAAGCAATAGTGTGTAATTTTACAGAACAGAATGTAAGAATTCAAGTTAAAATATAGAAAATACAAAAGTCTTTGTTTTTGATTTTAAATGTTCTGTATTTGAGCTTTTAAAGGAACTGGTAGTTCCAGACAAATGACCCAAGAATGAGAATAATTACACATTCATTTTAATATGCAGTGCCACCTACTGGTTTCTCTTGGGATTCTGCCTAGCGACTTGAATTATCGTTACTGATAAAATGGTTCACTCAAGGAACTTTTCTTTCCAGGAAATACAACACTATAACAGACTCTGAGCAGCGGCAGAGATACAAAGAGGATTTCTGTGCAGAATATGACGAGTACAGAGACCTTCATGAACGTATAGGGAAAGTTACAGAGATGTTTGTTCAGCTGGGATCCAAGATAAAGACGCTGTCTCCCGGGACACACAAGTATAAGGTATGGATAAAGACATATACACTACTGTTCAAATGTTTGGAGTGAGTAAGAAAAAATATACTTTTATTTAAGAATGATGCATTTAATTTGTTCAAAAGTGACATTTATACATTTATAATGTTACAAAAAAGATCCATTCCCAAAAAAATGCTGGTCCTTTGAACTTTTATTCATCAAATAGTCCTGAAAAAAGTGCATCACTGTTTACAGACAGACAGATAGACATAGATAGATAGATAGAAGACCAGTGATAATAATGTGTTCTCATTGAGCATCAAATTACAATGATTTCTGAAGGGTCATGTGACACTGAAGACTGGCGTAATGGCTTTAAGATTACTTGTGGAACAATGTGTCTTTGTTTTACAAGATAATGTTTTAGCACACCTTATATAACAGTTACATAATACATGATGTCAGAGGTTATTTTAGATTTTTTTTTTAATCATTATTTTGATTATTCTAGGTAATGGAGGATCAAATAATGGAGAAGTATAGGAAGTATAAGAAGGTAAGAGAATTGTATTGTTGATAATTGTATTATGTTGATAGTGTTTGAACTCGAGGAACTGTCTAAACATTTTTGCATAACTATGAACCTTTTATTTAAATAATCTGATATAAATTCTTAAAACCCCATGAACGTTTGTGTTATTTTTTATTTTTTATAGTATTTATACATTTTTTGAATTAGCTTTTATTTCAGATTTTAATGTTAAAATATTTTAATTTTTAAATAATTATTTTTATTTTATTAGTAATTAAGTTTTAGTAATTTTAGTTCTTGTTTTGTTTCAACTAGAGGCCAAGGCAACATTAGGTTTTTTAAGTTTAAGTTTTTCATTTAATATTTATATTTTCTTTAATCTTTATTTCAACTCGTGAAAACTATTTTAATAGTTCTTAATCATTTTAGTTAACAATAACAACACTGAACCTTTCATGCCTCATATTCTCTATGTCAGTGGTTTTCAAACCAGTCCTGCAAGCACCCCTAGCACCTCACATTTTGTATGTCTCCCATATCTGACACACCCATTTCAGGTCTTGCAGTCTCTACTAATGAGCTGATGAGTTGAATCAGGTGTGATAGATGAGGGAGGCACAGAAAATGTGCAGTGCTGGGGGTGCTCGCAGGACCTCTATGTGAATACTAAACATGATTTGTAGTAAACCTTCCGTCCAGCAGATGTCGCCATTTTTAACAGCTAGTAAATTTTCAGTTAGAGATCAAAAACTGCATCTAAATCGAGAAATCAGTACTAATACCCACCTCTAATGTGCACGTTTTGAAGATCTTGTTTTTGTCCCCGCAGAAGTTTCCAGGCTACCGGGAAGAAAAGAAGCGCTGCGAGTATCTCCATCAGAAACTATCACACATCAAAGGCCTGATTCTGGACTATGACCGCACACAAGCGCTCTCCTAGTGCCAGCCGTTCCACTCTCCTCCTCCTTCCCAGTCTGCTCGCATGGACCAAACGACTCCTCAGTGGAAATAAACCAGGGCCAAACGTCTCTCTTGAACACGACAAGGCATTTCCACGTCTTTCCTCCCCACGAACTGTGGGTAACAATGTGGAGGCTGAGGATCTAAGCCCAAACTATCAAACAAAGGCCAAGACCTCCAACTAGTGACTTAAGCCCTTTAAAGTTTTTTTTTTCTTTTTCATTCTCGTGTAAAAAGTGTTGCATTGAGGAATTGGTTAGATGTGAGACACAACCTAAGCCAAAATAGTTATTTTTTTCCTACCCAAATGCAGCATATGTGTAACCGTTGCCCTTGGATCTCCTAACTTCGGCTCTGAGCTCTGACCTTCAGGGCTGCGGGCTGCTTTTATGGTACAATCATAAAGCCTGGATGATGAGAGATGACTATCTGTACTGTGTTCGGTCTGTCAATGATTTATCAGAGAACTTAAGCACAGTTTCTATTTTGATATTTTACTGAATGTATATTTGTACACTTGTAAGATCTCGACATCTATAATAGAGGGTTTAATCACTGGATAGAATAAGGGAAACCTGGAATTTTCTCAACTCTGAGGTGATCCTACCAAACTCTGTAGAGTACGAGGGTGCAATCTGTCATATGAACACCCGCGTGAAAGCACCTACGTCAGACTCTTAATTAGACGAGACCTTCCTCTTTTGTGTGTAGCTACATGATGAGTTCTGGGATACTTAAATCTGAAATTAAATCTGGATTTCCTGTAGCCAATCGTGTAATAAGATGAAAGGTGCTTTGCCTTGACAGTTCAAAATCGTTAAAGTGATCATTTTCTCATGGTTTTTGTGTCCAGTGTCCAGTGCTTAAACCACTACAGCACACTGTGTCCTTAAAATAATGATGTTGATATTATTATTTGGACACTAAACAGCAGAAACAATCATGTTTTAAAGCACATTTAATTTATTATTATTTTTTTTTTAATAAAAATATATTAATGAAAAACAAATGTATTTACCTGATCTGTTGGATATGTTGCAGGAAATTTGACATGTTTTATTGACATGAAGTTTGAATGAACTCTGCATTCTTTCCCTTTGAAGCATGAAGGAGACCTTCATAGACTGTGTCAGGCTTTCTCTGAATCCTGGTTTTGGTTTGGGTCATGTTTTATGTGAAAGAAAGTATACAGTATGTCTGTTTTCCCAGAATGTAGTACTTGATGAATACAGATGGAGGATCTCGCTGGTCTTCTGCTTTACGTAAAGACCCAACACCATACGTTATGGAAGCAGAGTCTTTCCAAAGTCCCTCTATGTCCGTGTCATTCCTGTTCATGCCCATAGCCTCATGTACATTATGGAAGTATTTTTGTGTCACTTTTGCGCTTTGACATTTCTCTTGTGGAGACTGCTGATCTGTTATTTATGTCACTACAGTGTTAGTTCCTCTAATCCTTGATCCTGATTTGTTATCTGGCTGGAAAAATGATAGATTTGCCAAAATAGCATTGCTCTTTATATTGTTAACAGTTTGTTTCATCCTTTCATGGGGCAACTTCATGTATTGATGTAGATGCCTTAAATAAACTGGACCACATTAACTTAATACAATTGAAATGTCTTCTGATTTGACTTTAATTCTTATCGCAAGATTTGATAAATGACTCCATCAACCCAGGCAGCATGGCGCTTTGATATGTTTGCGTAGTTCGATTACATAAACCACTTTATCATTCTTGTCTGTGTTTGTGTAGACCACGAACGACCCAACACACCTGTCACCCGTGCCTCGCCCGATGAGCTGCCTGACCATTTATTGTAAGTAAGACCAGATTTCGGTTTATTTTACTGCTTTGTGATTCTGTAATTACAAGGTGGAGATTGTCTGCCGATGATTAAGGAATAGAAAATTAACTGTGTTGCACATTTAAAGCAATAGTGTGTAATTTTACAGAACAGAATGTAAGAATTCAAGTTAAAATATAGAAAATACAAAAGTCTTTGTTTTTGATTTTAAATGTTCTGTATTTGAGCTTTTAAAGGAACTGGTAGTTCCAGACAAATGACCCAAGAATGAGAATAATTACACATTCATTTTAATATGCAGTGCCACCTACTGGTTTCTCTTGGGATTCTGCCTAGCGACTTGAATTATCGTTACTGATAAAATGGTTCACTCAAGGAACTTTTCTTTCCAGGAAATACAACACTATAACAGACTCTGAGCAGCGGCAGAGATACAAAGAGGATTTCTGTGCAGAATATGACGAGTACAGAGACCTTCATGAACGTATAGGGAAAGTTACAGAGATGTTTGTTCAGCTGGGATCCAAGATAAAGACGCTGTCTCCCGGGACACACAAGTATAAGGTATGGATAAAGACATATACACTACTGTTCAAATGTTTGGAGTGAGTAAGAAAAAATATACTTTTATTTAAGAATGATGCATTTAATTTGTTTGTTCAAAACATTTATACATTTATAATGTTACAAAAAAAATCCATTCCCAAAAAAATGCTGGTCCTTTGAACTTTTATTCATCAAATAGTCCTGAAAAAAGTGCATCACTGTTTACAGACAGACAGATAGACATAGATAGATAGATAGAAGACCAGTGATAATAATGTGTTCTCATTGAGCATCAAATTACAATGATTTCTGAAGGGTCATGTGACACTGAAGACTGGCGTAATGGCTTTAAGATTACTTGTGGAACAATGTGTCTTTGTTTTACAAGATAATGTTTTAGCACACCTTATATAACAGTTACATAATACATGATGTCAGAGGTTATTTTCGATTTTTTTTTTAATCATTATTTTGATTATTCTAGGTAATGGAGGATCAAATAATGGAGAAGTATAGGAAGTATAAGAAGGTAAGAGAATTGTATTGTTGATAATTGTATTATGTTGATAGTGTTTGAACTCGAGGAACTGTCTAAACATTTTTGCATAACTATGAACCTTTTATTTAAATAATCTGATATAAATTCTTAAAACCCCATGAACGTTTGTGTTATTTTTTATTTTTTATAGTATTTATACATTTTTTGAATTAGCTTTTATTTCAGATTTTAATGTTAAAATATTTTAATTTTTAAATAATTATTTTTATTTTATTAGTAATTAAGTTTTAGTAATTTTAGTTCTTGTTTTGTTTCAACTAGAGGCCAAGGCAACATTAGGTTTTTTAAGTTTAAGTTTTTCATTTAATATTTATATTTTCTTTAATCTTTATTTCAACTCGTGAAAACTATTTTAATAGTTCTTAATCATTTTAGTTAACAATAACAACACTGAACCTTTCATGCCTCATATTCTCTATGTCAGTGGTTTTCAAACCAGTCCTGCAAGCACCCCTAGCACCTCACATTTTGTATGTCTCCCATATCTGACACACCCATTTCAGGTCTTGCAGTCTCTACTAATGAGCTGATGAGTTGAATCAGGTGTGATAGATGAGGGAGGCACAGAAAATGTGCAGTGCTGGGGGTGCTCGCAGGACCTCTATGTGAATACTAAACATGATTTGTAGTAAACCTTCCGTCCAGCAGATGTCGCCATTTTTAACAGCTAGTAAATTTTCAGTTAGAGATCAAAAACTGCATCTAAATCGAGAAATCAGTACTAATACCCACCTCTAATGTGCACGTTTTGAAGATCTTGTTTTTGTCCCCGCAGAAGTTTCCAGGCTACCGGGAAGAAAAGAAGCGCTGCGAGTATCTCCATCAGAAACTATCACACATCAAAGGCCTGATTCTGGACTATGACCGCACACAAGCGCTCTCCTAGTGCCAGCCGTTCCACTCTCCTCCTCCTTCCCAGTCTGCTCGCATGGACCAAACGACTCCTCAGTGGAAATAAACCAGGGCCAAACGTCTCTCTTGAACACGACAAGGCATTTCCACGTCTTTCCTCCCCACGAACTGTGGGTAACAATGTGGAGGCTGAGGATCTAAGCCCAAACTATCAAACAAAGGCCAAGACCTCCAACTAGTGACTTAAGCCCTTTAAAGTTTTTTTTTTCTTTTTCATTCTCGTGTAAAAAGTGTTGCATTGAGGAATTGGTTAGATGTGAGACACAACCTAAGCCAAAATAGTTATTTTTTTCCTACCCAAATGCAGCATATGTGTAACCGTTGCCCTTGGATCTCCTAACTTCGGCTCTGAGCTCTGACCTTCAGGGCTGCGGGCTGCTTTTATGGTACAATCATAAAGCCTGGATGATGAGAGATGACTATCTGTACTGTGTTCGGTCTGTCAATGATTTATCAGAGAACTGAAGCACAGTTTCTATTTTGATATTTTACTGAATGTATATTTGTACACTTGTAAGATCTCGACATCTATAATAGAGGGTTTAATCACTGGATAGAATAAGGGAAACCTGGAATTTTCTCAACTCTGAGGTGATCCTACCAAACTCTGTAGAGTACGAGGGTGCAATCTGTCATATGAACACCCGCGTGAAAGCACCTACGTCAGACTCTTAATTAGACGAGACCTTCCTCTTTTGTGTGTAGCTACATGATGAGCTCTGGGATGCAAATTTAATCTTGATTTCCTATAGCCAATCATGTAATGAGAGGAAAGGTGCTTAACCTTGACAGTTCAAAATCGATAAAGTGATAATTTTCTCATGATTTTTGTGTCCAGGGTCCAGTGCTCAAACCACTACAGCACACTGTGTCCTTAAAATAATGATGTTTATAACATTATTATTATTATTATTATTATTATTTGGACACTAAAAAGCAGAAACAATCATGTTTTAAATCACATTTTATTTCTTTTATCCTTTTTTAAAATTAAAATGTATTGATTAATGGAAAACAAAAAAACAATTCTTTACCTGATCTATTGGAAATGTTACAGGAAAGTTGACGTTTGTTTTATTGAGGTTTAATTTCTTGACGTTTGAATGAACTCTGCGTTCTTTCCCTTTAACGCGTGAAGGAGACCTTCATAGACTGTGTCAGGCTTTCTCTGAATCCTGATTTTCGTTTGGGTCATGTTTTCTGTGAATGAAAGTATACAGTATGTCTGTTTTCCCAGAATGTAGTACTTGATGAACACAGATTGAGGATTCTGCTTTACGTAACGGCCTGACGCAAACACCAAACGTTATAGAAGCAGAGTCTTTTCAAAGTCCCTCCATGTCCATGTCATTCCTGTTCATGCCCATAGCCTCATGTACATTATGGAAGTATTTTTGTGTCACTTTTGCGCTTTGACATTTCTCTTGTGGAGACTGCTGATCTGTTATTTATGTCACTACAGTGTTAGTTCCTCTAATCCTCGATCCTGATTTGTTATCTGGCTGGAAAACTGATAGATTTGCCAAAATAGCATTTCTCTTTATATTGTTAACAGTTTGTTTCATCCTTTCATGGGGCAACTTCATGTATTGATGTAGATGCCTTAAATAAACTGGACCACATTAACTTAATACAATGGAAATGTCTTCTGATTTGACTTTAAAGGAGACATATTATGCCCCTTTTTACAATATGTAATATAAGTCTCTGGTGTCCCCAGAATGTGTCTGTGAAGTTTCAGCTCAAAATACTCAACAGATCATTTATTATATCATTTTGAAAATGCCTATTATGAGTGGAAGCAGAAACACGCTGTTTTTCGGGCCTGTCTCTTTAAATGCAAATGAGCTGCTGCTCAC